ACATACCTCAACATTTGTATTATATAGCTTATGCTTGTTGAGAATAGCATGATAATTTGATATGTCATCAATGATCATTATCCAATCAGACATGCCGTTTTACGTAGTGATGAACCTATAGATCAATCTTTTTCTCTAACTATTATGAAAAACACTAAATAATTTTTTTGATTTATCTTTCCTAAACTGTTCGAGGAAAATCAACAAAGAGTGTGGATATTGGCGTAAAAACAGAAAGATCCACACCCACACACAACTCATTTGGTGTGAACGCAGAGCAGAAAGTACTATGAAGCTACAAGTATGGAAAAATCATTGTTTGATAGAATGTAGAAATATGTGACGACATCATATTGACACAAGCAAATGAAAAATAATCGGTTGAGACTCATCGGTAATCGATGAAAGGTGCTCGTCACTTGAGAACAAAATAGCCTTTCATATAGACGACATGGTTTTTCTCGCTGAGGAAGCCGACGTGTTTTTTTATTAAGACAAAATACGTAGTTTCTATCAGTGCATAAGAATACATAAAGATACACTTATATGTTCCGCTCTTTTTTTTTTTAAGCAACCTAAATGCTTGTTAGAAGAAAACAGTTTTGGTTATTCTTTCAATTTTTGATTAGTAACCATTTTGCAATTATAGTTGAAGAAAAGAAAAACAAGCATGCTTCATCGTGAATAGGTGTATGTGTGTAGCTCGATTTTTGTTTTCAGTATATATGAAACATTATAAACAACCTCCGACTGTTACTTTTTTTGCTCTTCAACCAACGTGCAAGCAAAATGGCGATGAAATGGAGTGACTTATTAGGAGAAAATTTAATTGAAGCCAATGCTCGACAAGACAGCATCATTTATCGACATGTACCGATCAGTGAACTCGACAATAAAGTTGTTGGTATCTATTTTTCGTATGTAACTACTTATATTATTTCACAATTTAATAAAAAAAATCTTTTTCAGGGCTCACTGGTGTGGACCTTGTCGAAATTTTACTCCAAAATTGGCTAAATGTTATGAGGAAGTTCAATCTGAATTACAAGATCGATTTGAAATTGTTTTTGTGTCTTCGGACCAAGATGAAAAATCTTTCGACGAATATTTTCAAACTATGCCATGGAAAGCCATGCCTTTCTCAGGTAGTTCAAATGCTTTTATTAATCAAACAATTTCACTTTTGCGGTGAATATCATAATCACAGCTTTTCTGAGTTCAATATTTATTGAGAAATTTCTATATGGATGTCTGTCGTCAAAGTATATGTGTCGTCATCATTAGATCAACCTTTCTGTACATTAAGCAATCAAAAATAACATTTTGTTTTCCCTCTTCATCACTAGAGTCGAAAAAGCACTTATTTTTGACTAATATTGGTGCATCCTTAGGAAGAACTTAAATGCGGGAAGGCTCTGTTGCTATTTTTCGACTTTCAAAGGAAAATCAGTTTGGAAAATAAAAATATGACAATATTGAATTTGATTGCAATTATTAGATGAATTCTTTCATTTTAGATCGAGATCGAAAGAAAAGCTTGTCTGAAAAGTTCAAAGTAGAAGGCATCCCAACATTGGTTGTTTTATCAGCTGATGGAAACCTGTTATCTCCAGACGGCAGTAATGACATTGCTAGCAAAGGACCTGACGCTATTCGATCCTGGTTAAAAGATGAACCGAAATCTTCTGCAGTCCAACAGGAATATTTATGGCCCGGAGTTTCTTGCAATGGATGCCAAATGAATCCACTCGTAGGAGAACGACACAAGTGTTCTACATGTGATGACTACAATTTATGCTCTGCATGTCAGAAGAAGGGACATGAGCACGAGCTCACAATTGTACCAGATACACTAGCGACAGTTTCAGAACTTGTTTACAAAGAAGTAGATATAAAACCTTAACTATACAACGACTTTCAATCCCATACAAAACAACTAGATTACCATTTAGAGAACTAAACATTTATGAGCTTTTAACAACTAGTTTATTAACATTAACAATAAAATTAAATTAAAAAAGTATTATTTGTTCGAACAATTCTATTTCAGTACTTGTTAATGGAAGAATCAGATCGTACAAATATGACGTTATGAGCTAACTTTCGTCTGTGAAAAAGCTTTAAAAATTTTTCTCAAGTTAGTATGTACTACTAATTCATTGTAAGCGCTACACTTCTACTGTAAACAGTGATGCAAATATCTTGTACACATATTTGTTACCTTTTTGTTTTTGTATAGTGAAGATGACGCTATCTTATAGGGGCTCTTCAACGTCAACATAGCATTCTCTCTCTAGAATCAAACATCACACTGTCAGCTCATGTCGACTTCAAATTCGATTGAAGAATTTTCAAGGATCACACTATAAGACGAACATCGTCTGTACAATTCTAAAGTTTGTTTTTCGTTTGGCCTTGATTCAACAAGACAGTGATACTAATATTCGTAATGGCATGATGCTCATCAAAGCTATTGTGAATTTTAATCATGTGTCCTAAACAATTTTGCCTTAAACATTATGGCTCCACTCAGCATTACCGACACAGGTACAACAAACAATAATCAAGCAGGAGATTGAACAGCGAGCACAGCATCAGACATCAATAGGTAACACGCTGATGGCAATAAACTTGCAACTAAATCATATTTTGTCGATATTATCTATACCCAAAGCACTTAATACATAATTGTCCATCAATACAGATTATATAAAAACTGAAGCTAGCCATAAGTATGTGCACGCAGCTAGTAGACATGTCCTGAGATACTCTATGAAAAGCTTTTTGAAAAACTTCAGGGTATGAGTGCAGCATTTCTAATAGCATTTATACCAAGCGAAATCAAAATGTACTGATCGTCGACTGCTTCAGATAGACATAGTATCTCATATTGTGCTAAAAAAGCAGAGCACATACAGAATATTTTGTTGCATAAAATAAC